TCCCTAAATCCCTAAAAAAATACTTTTTGTCATCTTTAATTTGTGTTGCCAGCCTCAGTTCTGCAGTGGCTTTGACTTTTCTAACTGCATCCCTGCAAGTCTCTGCTACACCCTACATAGCATTGTTCTTTGCTCTATTTCCTGCTTTGCTGGGTGTGCACACATTCTCCTGGGCACACTTCTGTACACTTCAATATTCAGACAGCACCTTTTAGCAAAATGATTGTTTGCTGCCTGCTGTGCTTTGTGCTGGATACTTGTCTGCATGGGTAATGCCATACTTTGCAGTTAGCTACTGTTTCATCTTTCACAGGGCTGCTCACTGCTCTTCTGTGCTAGAAGACACTGATCAGCATTGCAGCACCAGTGGGATTGGTGGTTCTCAGGTGTCCAAGCTTTGTTTCCTTGGTACTACTGTTTCTGATGGGTTTAAAATCAAGGAGTGAAATCCCGATCCCATTTAAATCACCTGGGTTCCATTTGATTTCAATGGAGGCAGGATTTTCTCAGACATCTTTATCATTCCTTCTTGTGTTCTTCTAGTTGTGGCTTCTTCAGTTCAATCATTAAACTATCTCAGAATAGCAAGGACAAATAATGACAGGCTGCTTTGTTTCTAATCTGAATTTTTTAATGGCTACCTGCTTCACTCCTCTGATCTCTACCATTCCTAGGCCATTTTTTTTCCTGGAGCTACATTTTTTCTGATACTAATCAAATGCTAGCATTTAATTAACTGTGGGTGCATCTACATGTGAATTTAGGCATGCTTAAATTTAATACACATTAAGCAATTTTTGGCAGGTGTCTACATGCATGAACGATGCGCGCCCCTGGTGTCTGGGAGGACACAGAGGCAGTGGGAGTGTGGAGGTGGTAAGCAGGAGCTCCCATAGATGCTGCCACCACTGTCAGCGGCAGGGGGTGGGGGGTGGTGAGCGCTGACCAGGGGTTGGCGACTGCCCGCAGATGCTGCCGGTGGTGTTGGTGGTGTGGTGGCAAGCAGTGACCACCTGCAGGTACCACCAGCACTGTCAGCGGTGCCTTTTTTGTAGGGGGTGCACTGCCACACTCCAGGGGTGCACATGCACCCATGTGCACCCCCTATGCATTGCCCCTGTCTACATGTGCTCAGACTTGAGACTAACTTTAGTCCCAAGCCACTCCAGCCCTGCCATGTGCCCCTGTGGCCAACAGGGACAGCTCTGGCCATATGGCTGCAAGTACTTGGTAGCCATGCTGAAGCCAGAGCCAGCTGCCAGCACTTGGCAACTATCTTAAAAGGATACCCTCCGCACTGTGACTTCTGAGCCGATGCTTCCTGGTTAGAGCAGCAGCGTGGCAGACACAGGCAGCACATCCCAGCTCTACTCCTGCTACAGCTGCACTTCCCAGCCCTGGCTGCCCTAGCTCCTGGCCCTGGGACCCAGGGACAGGGTCCCCCACTTCTCAGGGCTGCTGCAGCTCTCCTGCTTGCCCGCTGCTATTCTGTGTACCTGGCATTCAGTCACTTTGAACCACCTGACTTCCCCACCCACTCTAGCTACCTGCTGGATGTCTTATAAATGGCCTTCTGGGGCCCCTGTGCAGGTGCTGCCACCAGCCACAGTGACCACAGGCTCCAGGACACCACCACTGGGACCATCATCACCCTCCTATCCCACCAGCCCTGCTGCCTCTGGGCCTGCTGTGACAGTCAGGACTGGTGGCTGCATGTCGTGCTGCAGGAATGGGACAACAACCAGTGAGTCGACATGTTTCAGATGACCCAGGCCACCTTTGAAAACCTGCTGTGCCACCTCCAGCCCCACCTGGAGCACCAGGACATAGAGATATGCCTAGTTATCCCCACCAACATCTGCCTGCCCTGCTGCCCACACCCCCCCAACTCCTTGCCCACCCCCTAGCACCACTACAGGACATGCACATGTTTTCAGTGAAAATCTTTATTCCCCTCACACCCCACATCTGCATCCCTGCCCACCTCCTCCCTCAAGCAACAGAGCCATTCTCCACTCCCTCTGCAAAACACAGAGCCCCTCCGCCACTCTTCCCACCCACCAACAATAAAAAAACCCTTTTCCCAAACTGAAAACTATATACAACAGTTTCAGTCTTTGTCTGAGTCCTGGAGTGGGAAGCTGTGGGGTGGGGTGCCTGGGGTGCAGAGCTTGGAAGCAGGTGGCCAGCACCCTGATGGTGGACAGTTCCCTCATGGGTTGGCAGGCTGTGGTGGACACCAGGGGATCCTGTGGCTGGGAGGTGGTGGGGGCCCTCCCCTGAGGCCCAGGTGGGAGCTTGTGTGGGCTGGCGGCCAGGACCCAGGGCCCCTGAAGGCTGGGGATCAGGTGTGGGGGGGTATGGATGTGGCCTCTACTGGGCAGGCCTGGCTGGCCAATTGCTGCTGGAGCAGCTCAATATGGTGCTGTTCCAGGGCCTCCAGCTGGGCCCACTGCTCCTGCTGCACCTGGTCCCATATCTCCTTCTGGGTGGTATCATGGGTGATATCTTCCTGCCACCAAGCCAGCTCCTTAACCTGCTCCCCTGCCTGATCCTGCATTCTCTGGTTTTCCACTACCGCCACCACCTGCTAGAACAGGAGGATCCAGTTCCTGGTGTACTTGCACAGCCAGCACATCTGTGCAGCTCCAGCGGTAGCTGGTAGCAACCCTGAGGTGTCATTTCCACAGGGTCCTCTGGCCTCTTCCCCATGTCCAGATATTGGCCCTGCAGAGGCAAGAGACAGAAGCTTTTTGTGTGACTTTGCAACATTTCAGAGATAACATGCTTTGCACCAGAGGTCCTGTGCTGCCCGGCCTCAGATCAGAGGTTGGTCATGCACGGGTGCCCAGGGACCATGGTAAGTTGTTTGGGAAGGGTTGGGCCCAGGTGGCCACCAGCCAACCCCCCTGGCCCTGCTTGTTCCCCTGGGGCCGCTGGGCTTCTGGGTGCTGGCCGTAGGCAGCCTGCCTTCCCCACCCCCTTCCCAGGGCAGGCCAGGCCAGGCCAGGCTGCTAGCAGTGGCTGATGCTGCAGCACAAGATCCCATACCCCTGCTGTCTCACTTCAGGCCAGCCACTCTGCTGCGCTGCTGTAGAGCACACAGCGCCTGGGCTTGGGACATATGGGGCTCCTAGATAACTGGGGCTAGGGGATGGATGTGTACCCACTCGCCCTCTCCACAGTGGACCTCTCCAGGGAGGTGCCATGGGCTGCCCCCCTCCTCCCCCAAGATGTTGCTGTTCTCCAAGCATGCCCCTGCTGCATATTTTAGAAACATAGGGCTGCAAGGGACCCTAAAGGATCATCAGGTCCAGCCCCCTGCATGAACAGGCAGAGAGTGTGAGCAGAGGCTAGGAGAAGGGACTGGAGGCTCAGCTGGTGAGGCTGGAGGCTCAGCATGGGACTCCCCATCAGCGACAGTGTCTGGCTGCACCCGGTGTCCATAGGATGCAGTGTGCAGCAAGTCATCACCTAACCAGGGGCCCTCCGGGGGAGGAGCTGGTGGCCGGTGGTGACATGGCCAGCCGCTCCTCATGGTTTGGTGTGTGGCTGGGATGAGGGTGAGGCAGCTGTGGGCAGGGCTCCCTGAGCTGCCAGTGGATGCAGCAGCTGGGGAGGTGGGTGGGGTGGAGGGCTGAAGGCCTGAGGTCCTCTGTTCCAGTGACATGTCACCCAAGGTTTCAGGGCAGGGCAGGGGCTTGGGTAGGCTGTCCCTGCTGGTGCCACTTGCAGGGGTGTATCCTGGCTCCCAGGGGGCCAAAATGCATGGGACACTGAAGGCCCGAGGTCTGCCTTCAGTGGTGTCAGGGAGGAGTGCAGTCGAGGGCTGGTTGCCCCTGCTGGTGGCACTCACAGGAGTGTGGTCTGTCTCTTGGCATGCCAAAATGTGGCTCAGCTCCTGCATGAAGGGCATGGTCTTTGGGGCACAACCCGACAGACGATTGAACACAGTCATGGCCACCCACTGTGCCCACAAGACCTTGACCTTCATGCAGCATTGCCACACTGACCGAGAGTGGCCTCACACATGCATCCCACCTGATATGGCCTCATAAATGTGGGCATTCGAGTGCCTGCCCCACAAGAGCTGCCTCTGGATGTTGGCCCTGCCCCAGAGCACCACGAGGGTGTGAACCTCCTCCCAGGTCCAGGTGGGACCAAGTGTGCAGGATGGGCATGGGCATGTGGGCAGGGCCGGGGCTTGATGAGGACAGTGTGCTGGATGTGCTCCCCTCACCAGCTCTCTGGGTCCCAGTGTAGCTATCCCTGAGATACTGGCCCTGGACAGCTGCCAGTAGCACCCTGGACAGGGGCATGGCCAGGGACAGGGAGTCACGCAGCAGAGGTGCTTCACCACAGTGCCTGCAAAGAGAAAGAGCTGGGGGTGAGGAGCAGCAGGGAGCAGGTGCTGGCCCTGCTGCCATAGAGAGCAGAGCAGCAGTCCTGGGGGGAATCTCAGGGCTGGGCAAGGGACACAGCAGGCTGCAGGCCTTTGCAACACTCACCTGTGGCCAAGGAGCAGCTCTGGCTAGGGGACAGGACAGGCGAAGGCTGTCCAGGGGGGCACATGGGGCCAGTTTCGCTCTTTCACAGTCCGGCACTCCTGTCCAGGCCTCTGAGCAGCGTACACCAAGGCAGGTATCAAATTTAGGTGCAATTAGCTTAAATTCACCATTTTTAAGGTGCATTAAAGGTGCAGACATGTAGATGCATGTCCTTAATGCACCTTAAGTTGGGCTAATGTGCACTAAATGTGCACGTGTAGATGCTCCCTTTAGGTTCACATGGAAGGAATATTACATTTCTGGTTCCTTCTTAATACATTGTAAAACTACTGAGATCCCTGCTGTGGTTGATACTGGACATTTAAACTTTACCAGCCAGCCTTTTCAGTTTTCAGTAACATTTTCTTCATAACTGTCCGCACTTGTAGGCTCCAGGAAATGCATGTTTAGATATTAGAGCACAGATTGCTATCTGTTCCTTTTACTTCGTAAATGGCTGCTTGTTCACCTGAATTGATTGGGACCATGTACTTTCCAGAAGAAAAAAAATTCAACAGCAACAGTATTTCAACAGCAGCTCATAAATTCTGTGCGTTTAAGTCAGTGAAAAATACTGTATTAATTTGCTACTGTGTTGTGTTTATATATCATGAAAGACCAAACTAGTGTTGCTGTTCAAGATAGCTTAAGATAACAGTCTCATTATCCCCTCTGAATCATGTAAATACCTATTATTGATGGTAGACAAGGTTCCTTGGGTGAATTTGATATCTTTTATTAGACCAACCCAAATAGTTGGAGAATAGTTATTAAGTAAGCTTTCGAGTTCAAAAACCCTTCGTCAGGCTAAGGAAGTTTCAACAGTTGGTGTGTGCTCTTCCTGGATGGAATGAAAATGGAAATTATTGATGGTGACTTTTGGGGTTATGGATTTTTTTTTTGTCATTTGTGACTTCTCTGTTTTCCTTACGGAAAAACTTCAGTATGATACCCACACACCCAGAGTTGCTGTGCGCGCTCTGGGAGCGGGGTTGTGGTGGGCAACAGTATTTATTAATTTGGGTTGAATTTAGTGAGTAACTTTGGCTAAAAAACAGGGGTAAGGATATTTTTTAAAATGTCAAGACATTTGGTTTCAACACTTTTTTCATGAAACATTTCATTTTGTAAACAAGGAAATATTTAAAAAATATATTTAAAGGCAATTTGTAACTCTTGGAATTGCATTTTTTTTTTCAGTTTTAAATGTACTAAATTGAAAGAGAAAAGATTAAAGAAAGTGATTATATCACTTAAAGCCAAATTAAACATTTTGATTCAAGTTAAATGAAGTAGTTCAGTTCTCAAACTCTCCTACAGTGACACATGGGAGTTGCAGTTTGGGTTGCCTAAAAAGAGCATTTAGCTTTATCTTAATTCAGTGCAAAGCTGTTTTTTTACTTGAACCCTGTAATCTGCCAAGAGCTTTTAAACTGGTAAAATATTATCTTTGACCTCATCACAGGCTCAGTAATTACATTGTGTGGGAAATCAACAGAATGATCCGTTTGGCTTGGGTTTCCTTTTTTTTACCTTTTACAGTTTGAGCTGCTTGAAATCAGGTTAAAGCTCTTTCTAATCAATAAATAAATGCCTCTTCACATTCCAAAATTAAAAAAAAAAAGCAAGAAAACACAATAGGAAAGTTTCCTGATTTGCTTTTATTACTTTTTATGAAGAGGAAAAAATTGGAATATAAACAACCTTTCTTGGAAGTTAAAGCTCTCTTTTCAATAGGTGGTTAAATAAAACAATGTCAAATTGAAGATGATATTCCTTTAATTTCTTTTCCTTTTTCCTTTTCAGAAAGGGGCTGTTTGCTGGTATAAAACTGAAGAAGAAAAAGAAAGACGAGACAGGGTTAACTATAGCAAACAAGGGTGCACTGGGTAAGGCCTAGTAAATCAATATTAAAGCTGATTTGAATAGATGACAAGGGTGTGATAATTTTCCCTACCCTCACTGTGAAATCATTTGAATTGTGCCTTGAAATAATTGGTTTAGTAATTGAAAAGGCAAGCAGTAAATTCCTTTTAGTCCTATTAACTATGAACTCTGATAGGGTTATTGAAAGCCACTCAGAGACCCTGTGAGTTCAGAATAATGTATCCGAGTTGTGCGTAAAGTTATAGAAACAGACCAGTTCTTTCTTTAAAAAGACAACGGATGTGGGAATGCCTTATCTCTTCTAGATGCACATAAAGGAGGGTCCAGGTAATTTTGAATTCTAGACAGGCCTGTGATTCCTGCCGAAGTTCTGGTGCTGTTGGAAACCACGGGAACAAAGACAAAAGTGTGAAGCCACTTTTTGTGGTTTCTGGAAGCCTCCGATAGAGTTCAGTAGCTCTAAATATGTGTGTGGTTTTAACTTTATCTAACACAGGGATCACACATCCATGACCCACGCTGCTTCTTATTCTCCTCCTTCTCTTGCACCTCTTTTCCAAACTTGCCTTTACATTTTCCTAGGTGCCTTTCTCCAATGCTTCTATTTCCTATTCCAGTATCTCTTTTACATCTTTCCCACAATGGGGATCTCAGGCAGGATGAACAAATTGAATCTCATAAATCTTAGCTGTGATATCATGCCTTGAAGTCCCTTGGGTCTTTTTGAACATGGGCCATTATCTGCTTTGTGCAATCCATGAGCTATAATGTTGTCCTGAGCTAGATGAAATATATATGTGCTGTAGCCCACTATTAGACAGAAACAGAAGTAGTTAACCATGTGTCAAAATGTTATATTGCTAGTAGGTGTGATATCAAAGCAGGTTCACTTAGTAGGATGCAATCTTTTTTATCAGCGACTGCTATGAGGTTCCACATAACCATGGCTATGCTTCACAGAAATACCTATCATGTTCCAAATTGCTTGCAGATTTTATAGTGCATTATATTGTTGCCAATAGCGAAGTCTGCCGCACTTTTCCATGTAATTACCTGTGTCTTGGCAAGTACTTAATAGATTCTGTTGTGTGAATGATCTCTGCGACATAGCTGTCATTATTTGTCATCTTCACACACTTTATTAATGTCTTGCCTAGTAAACACCTGGACTACAAGAGATACGTAAATCTCTTGCTGCCCTAGCTTTGATTGAGAATTTTGTCTCCTACTGGAGCACACAAGATCTAGCATGGAAAGAGTACACTGAAGAAGTATGTTTCATTCTGTACAATTTTCATTTTCTGTTATGGAATTCCCACCAGGTGATAGCTCTTCTTGATTAGTAATAAGCAAAGAGTCCAGAGCAACTGGGGGAAAAGGTACCAAAAATATCTACTCAGATGATAGAAATTTGTGATTTTAAAGGAAAAGCATTACAAAAATATTGTATGGATAAATTGAAACACGGGAGATTGCTCCAGATACAATATATTTCTGTCACATGGCCATTTTCTGCTGGAATCGAATTTCTGACTGGTTCCACCTAGAAAGTAAACAATGTTAGGCTTCACAGGATAGTCATCAAATATCATTCTCTAGAGAGTCAATAGGATATTGGCTGCAATCATGGGACTGTGACACTCAGGAAACAGAATACCAGCAAAGCATATAGTGAGACATTATGGGCCCTCATTACAAATGAAATCATGCCAATTTATGCTGCTGAAGCTGCAGCCTTCAGCTTCCGTCAGAATTATTCTAGGGTTTGTGAAGTAGAAGTGACTTCCTATCCATGTGCTTGTTGACACTGGATTTATGACCCAGATACCTTGTTCTGGGTGGACCCAAACTCTCAGACCCAATCACAACCTCTCCATTTGATAAAAGGCAAATTTTCTTGATACACAGTGATAGCACAGAAGAAAAATGCAAACAATTCTATATCTACCAGTCCTAGAGCTGTTACAGAGGTAATGCATGTCTGGCCAGTATGTGAGCGTCACCCTGAGGTTCTGTCTTGAGTATCAGATGTCAGCAGCCTGGAGGTCAAAGCCCAAGGCCCACCCTTCTCAGTGGAGTGGCTAAGACAGGCTGGTGGTGTGCTCTCTGTCCATGGTGGCCTAAGGTTCCCCTCTTGCGGACCCTTTGCTGCTCTGAAATCCCCACTTTTGTATTCTTTCTCCCCTCTGATGACTCTTCATCTCCTGTATTGTTGATTGGTTTCTCTGTGGTTGTCATACTGTCCACGTTCTGTCCTGTCAGTGTATTCCCATTTCACAAACCCATCACATGCACACATCCTAATTTGGTTATTTACCGGTTTCTCTTAATTTGGTGCATCTACCAAAACCAGAAATCTCAAGGGCTCTGGAGTGGGTGCTGTGACCTGGTGCCAATCTGCAGAGTCCCTTATCTCTATTTGGGCACACTGTTCATGTCTACAATTCCTAGCCTGTGTGTCTTCTTTCATCAGACTCAGTGGGCCTTGAAGGAATCTTTGTCACAAACAGGCCTTTAGAAATCAATTAACCCTTGCCATTCCCTCTGGACCATTGTTCTAATATAATATCTACTTTACCTACAAGCCAATTCTGAAAAGCAAGCTTCTAAATACCATTTTTTAGCCATCAGTGCTTCTTTATTGAGTCTTCTTTGGCTTGCATCAGCACAGTCTCAGAGTGCCTTATGAGGCTTTACTGGCTGGAGCTCCACCACTTTCCAGTGAGGCAGAGAAGTGTTATCCCTTATAGAGAGAAGGTATGGAGACCCAGAGAGTTTAAAGCAGGTATTATTAAAAGTGGACCCTCATTTTTTGGATGTCAAATGTTCAGTGCCAGTTTTGGGACACCCTTCAAATATGACTGAATTATAATTTTTAGAGATTTCCCTGGCCCTCCTCCCTCTTTTGCAGAATAAAAAATATCTGTATAAAAATCCTCCAAAGTCATTAAAAATGTCAACTTTCCCCCACACAGAACTGACCCTTTCATACCATAAATACTTTCTCACAAAAGCTCTTCAGTGGGACACCAAAAGCAAGGAATTTGGGTTCTGGGCACAATGAGTTTCAGGGCTGATGTCAAATGATGCAGTGCCAGGTCTTTTTAGTTTGTACTGACGAGTTGTTAGCATAAAGGCTTCAGTTGATTGTAACTGCAAAGGAGGCAGGAGAAAAGTGGTTTCCAAGTTAGCATTGATAAGATATATTCCATACTGGAAACCTTACTCTAATCACTATTAAGTTTCATACATGAAGAGCTTAGACATTCCCTGTCAGCTTTCGGAATTATTTTGTTAATCAGGTGACCATGAGGAAAGTGATAGTCTTCACCATGAGGCACCGCGTGGACAAGAAGGAGATGGAGATTCGATGCATGATGCTTCATCTTCTAGTGGCTTTGCACCCTCAGGCCCTCTGACTAAAAGGTACAGGACAACATTTCCAAAGATTGCTCCAAAGATTCCACATCATGTCTTGGAGATGGCATTGCTGTTGGCCACATGCTCCATGACACAAATTCTGTCTCCTGACAGCACTGACCTCCCAACTACTGTACTTCTACCTTGTAGAGCAAGATGTTTTTGTAAAAAAATATAACAAGCTCAGATTTTCAGAATAGGCAAGTCAGTGCAGAGAAAGATTGAGGGAGAGCAGGACCAGGTTTAGGCAACTAATGAAACTGAGTTAGGGAGAACAGGATTGTCCAGAGATGCTGATCATAGGAGGAAAAAACTGAGTCTATTTTCCACTGTAGTCAACAGAAATTCTCTCCCTGGCATGTGGATCCTATACCTAATGTCCAACTATGCAAAATATGTGAGCAAAGTTATTTCACATATATCATATTTGACTGAGAGGGTGTTGTATATAGTTAGAAATGTAATGGCTGTGAATGAAGAAGGTTAAAGTTAAATAATTATAACTGACCTTTCCAGTCTCAAAAGTCCATGGAAAAATTAACTGGATGAAAATCAGACTGACATCTTCAGTGCCCCCCATCAAAAGAGAAAGCTCTCTTTGTGAGATTTAGTATTAGTATTGCTGTCCCCATGAAAAGTCCCAGCAATTACGTTAAAGTGATTGCCAGTGATATAAAACAAAAAAGCAGATCTCAAAAAGAGCCACCGAACAAGTCATTTCAAGGAAAAAACATCTCTTGAGCACATGTTAAAGAACTAAGATTTCCATGTTCTTGAAGGCAATGCATAATATTCTGTTCCATCTCTCGAACAGAGCAAAACTGGTACACAAACTTCAGGAAGGGGAGGCAAAGCATCAGAATTACCAGGTGAGTCCAAAGCAATGCCCACATTTTTAACCCCCCATTTCTGAATCTGAGACTGAGTTGCAGTGTATATGTTGTGTTTGTGCTCTTTAGATTGCCATAACCATCATTGAGGCCCGGCAACTGGTTGGTGAAAATATCGACCCAGTGGTGATCATGGAGATTGGGGATGAAAAGAAGCAAACGACAGTCAAAGAAGGCACAAATGCCCCATTTTACAATGAAGTATGTCCTTTTACTGTGAGCTATTTGCAATAGTGGCAAAGTGGTGATTGTTCATATTAGATTGACAGGAGATAAGTTAGGGCAGAACAGCTGAATCGCTCCAATGAATGAAGTCTTTTAGAAAGCCCTCCTCTGTCCTGCATCTCTCAACCTCTCTTTTTTTCATGTTCCTTGCATTCTAGTATGTGAAAGGTACTAATCTCCATGTCCTATTCATAGTTTACCTTTCCATGTCTAACATTTAAAAAAAGAAGCTCAGTGAATTCTTTCTAAACTAGCGTCCAATCCATATCATCCACCCTGCATCTAAAATCCCTCCTTATACTTATGTTTGCAAGCACCATAAGTCTAACAAAAATAGTTCTTAAAACACGTTAGTCCTTTAGACTTCCTAGTGTAACCTCTCCTTTCTTGCTCCACCTTTTATATTTAGAGCTCTTAAATTTAACATATATTTTAAAACAGCCAGTCAGAGGGACATGAGGAAGTATCTTAGAGTTGCCCCTGTCATCAAACAGCAATCCACATAGTGCTTGTTGAAGACAACATAATTGCAATACTGATCTGTAATTTTGTTTTTCCACAGTATTTTGTGTTTGACTTTGTTGGACCTCAAGTGCATTTGTTTGACAAAATCATCAACATTTCTGTAAGTATGATGGGAAGTTTTAACAATATTTTGTTAAAGGAAGATCATGTGCTTTGGTCCATGGCCAAAGAGATTCCTCTCAGAGACATTATTAAAATGAAAATCAATTTTAAGTGCCAGTGATATTATAAGGTAAAATAATATTTTTTTTACCAGAGAGTCCAGAAAAGAGCCACAAGCATGATCAGAGGTTAGGAAAACAGACCGTATGACGAGAGGCTGAGAGCTATGGGACTCTTCAGCCTGGAAAAGTGCAGGCTCAGGGGCGATCTGGTGACCACCTATAAGTTTATAAGGGATGTCCACCAGGATCTGGGGGAAAGTTTTTTTACCAGAGTGCCCCAAGGGATGACAAGGTCAAACAGTTATAAACTCCTGCAAGACTGTTTCAGGCTGGACATAAGGAAGACTTTCTTTACTGTCCAAGCCCCAAGGTCTGGAATAGCCTGCCACTGGAGGTGGTTCAAGCACCTACTTTGAATGCCTTCAAGAGAAAATCGGATGTTTATCTTGCTGGGATCCTATGACCCCAGCTGACTTCCTGCCCCTGGGGCAGGGGGCTGGACTCGATGATCTTCCAAGGTCCCTTCCAGCCCTAATGTCTATGAAATCTATGAAATCTATGAAAATACTGTATTGAGGTGAAGCAGAGAAAAAGAAAACTGGCACCTGGTAATGGCATGAAGAGACTTTGAAACAACCCATGAGGAAGATGTCGTGTGAATTTTCTTGGATGGCGTCTTGAAAGTTGATGGTAAAAAGTATGTCACTTTGAGTTGAGATTTGAAGATGGCATCAAACTAATCATTTGTTCATTTGTTGAAGATGAATTTTACCTTCTAATTAGCAGAGCCATCCATTTTCTTCGGCCTTCAATTTTTCAACCTTCATGCCATGCTGTCTCAGTTCACTCATCTAAAACTTTTGGTTTATCTCAGTTTCTCAGATGCAAAAACCAAGCTTTAATTTGAAATGTTTAGCCTCCTTATGCTTCAGCAATCCCAGTGCTAAGACCGCGTTGAGTCTCAAGTATTGATCCTTATTCAGGAGGAAATGGAAAGGCAGTGTAAGTCTGTTCAGCACTCTGCTACTGGTAACTTCTCAAAGAATATGTAACACCTCAGAACAGCCTTGTTTGAAATACTGAAATGAACTAACTTCAGATAGTAGATACGCATGATTGTTTTGTCAAAGATAGTTTCATGTAGTTGGGAAAGCCGTATGGGTCTAAAGGAGTTGCTCCTCTCTGCCTGCCAGCAGTGGATTCCTAAGTGGTAGATTACTGTATTATCTCACATACCACACACCCCAAAATAAGATATACACCTTGTTCTGGGAAGGCAGAATGAAGAAAAAAAGAGTTTTTCCAGAGTTCTGGCTGAACTCTAACTGCAGGGGATGCTGACTGCATGGCTGAATCCAGCTGGCTCTGCTCAGGCAAAAGCTAACGTGTTAACTATCTCACAGACACTGGCAAATTGGCAGTACCTGTTGGCTGCTCAGTGACAAGCTACTGCTAATTCTGCAGCAGTTGTGAAAGGGTTAACACTGAAGCTGTGTCCCAGGAGGGTGAACTCCACCCCCTCCATCCTTGTGGCTGGCAGGGGGAGAAGCACAGAAGCCATTTTACAGTGTTTCCATGCTTCCATTCCTCCATTCCAGTGTCAAAAATTGGCTTCCTCTCTAAAGACAAACACCCCAGTTCTGGAGGGATGATTTTTGGGGAAAATGGGTGTTTGCAATGTGGTATGTAAGTACATATGTTACATGCATGAAGAAGCACTTTAAAATGTTGTAAAGAATGTCTCAGTTTCCAATTAGTGCTGTTGTAGCCATGAGGGTTCAAGAAATGTGCCAAAAACAAGATTTGTTTGATGGTATTTTTTATTGGATCAACTGTGTAGCTGGGAGAGATGAGAGAGAAACTTTCAGGCATAAAGCGCTATCTCAGATCTGGGATGGAAGCATTTACTGCTGCAGTTAAATGCCAGGTAACGTTTGGTGTCAAAATTACTTTTGTATAACTTGATCCTGTAAATGAGAATAGTCACTTAAAAAAGGGCACGGGAAGGGGAAGGCAGTAAATCCATGAAGCAAAGAGGACCATTTGAAATAGATAACCTAATTGTGTCAAAGAATAAGACTATCCAGAAGGGAAGACAGCCATTGCGACATTTCTTATGACAGTGGCATATTTCAAACGAATAGAAACTGTAGATCTCACTCCCATTCTCTTCACAAGATAAATTCCATCCTCAGGTGTTTCACATAAATAGGTGTAACGATGCTTAGAAAATACACCTAGTACCCATGAATGCCAAAAATATGAGTGTGTTTAAATTGGTTTTGGAGTTTGGGAAACAGAGAAATTGGGTTAGAATTATATCCTCAGGTTTCTATTGAGCTACATTGGCTTGTCGCCTGAAGTTGCAGATGTTTATCCAAAACTTATATCATAGGTTCATAGGAAAGCATGGCTGAAAGGGACCTCACAAGGTCATCTCACAAGGTCATCCTGGCTCAAGGCAGGATCATCCCTCCCTAAAGCATCACAGACAAATGTCTGTCGAACCTACTTTTGAAAGTTTCTGAGCATGGATGCCACAATTAATTTAGGTAGCTTGTTCCAATGTCTGAACACTCTCATAGCCAAAAGGTTCCTCAGAAACTCCAGCCTAAATTTTCCCTGCTGCAGTTTTAGGCCATTGCTCCTAGTCTTGTCCGCTACAGCAACAGAGAAAAGCCCATCTCTATCCTTTCTATAATTACCCTTCGAGGTATTTAAAGACTGCTATCAAATCCCCCCTCAATCTTCTCTTCTGCAGGCTAAATAATGGTAGTTCTTGGAGGCAAGACTTTCCTCATAAGTTTTGCCTCCAAGGCCATGTGCTTTCTTAATTTGCTCCTTGCATGCCTAGACAATACTCTCATGCTCTTCCCTAGGACTATGACCAAGTTCCCACTTTTTATAGGATTCCTTTTTAAGTTTCAGCTCCTTGAAGTTATCATTGTCTAGCCAGGCTGATCTCCTATTACACATCCTATTCTTCTGCCTCATGGGGATAGTCTGTTCCTGCACCCTTAAAAGAGCCTCCTAAAAGTACAGCCAGCTCTCCGAGACTCCTTTCCTCCTCAGACTTGCATCCCAAGAGATACTGTTTACCAGGTTCCTGAGTTTAAGTTTGCTTTTCTGAAGTCTGGTGCCCTTATTCTGGTGTTCTCCTTCCTTCTGCCCCTTAGGACCTTGAACCCTATCGTTTTGTGGTCATCGTCACCCAAGTTACCTTCTATCTAGACATTCTCAACCAATTCCCCCCTACCCTGGGGGTCTTCAAGAGGAGGTTAGATAGGCATCTAGCTGGGGTCATCTAAACCCAGCACCCTTTCCTGCCTATGCAGGGGGTCAGACTCGATGATCTATTGAGGTCCCTTCCAACCCTAACATCTATGAATCTATGAATTCCTCCCTGTTTGTGAGCAGTAAGTTGAGAAGTGTTTCCCCCCTTGTTAGCCTCTCTTATCTGAATTAAAATGGTATCCCCAGCACACTCCAGGAATTTGCTGGACTGCTTTTGCACTGCTGTGTTTCCCTCTCAACAGATGCCACAATAATTAAAGTCCTCCCATCGACCAAGTCCTGTGAGTTGGAAGCTTCCATCTCTTGTATGAAGAAGGCATCAAACCTACTCTTGGTTTGGAGGCCTGCAGGAGACACCTACCATTACATTCCTCCTGCTGCTTCCCCCCTGACCTTTGCTCAGAGGTTTCAGTATGCCTACCTTCCACTTCATATTGCACCTCTGAACACATGTATATCACCTTTATATATAGGGCAGCACCTCCTCCTTTTTCCCCCTGCCTATCTGACCTGAACAAGCTGTACCCATCTACTGCTGTACTCCAGTCATATGAACTGGAGTACAGCAGTACTCCACCATATATCCCACCATGTCTCTATAATCCCAGTTACATCATAGTTCTGTGATTGTACTAGGACCTCCAATTCTTCCCGTTTGTTTGTTCTCCACACTTCTCACATTAGTGTATAAACATTTTAAGTATATGACAGTCCTGTCATTGCCCTGAGAACATTGCTAAGGTTTCCATTATTGCTTTCTTTTACTAAGTTTTTATCCTGGTCTCCAGGCTTTTTACCTACCTCTGGGCTTTTGCTTCCATCCCCCAGTGAACCTAGGTTAACTTTCCACTCTTTGTCTGGTGGACCCCGCTTCTTCCCAGCAGTCCATCTTCCTGGAAAACCACCATCAAAGTATCCAAGCCCTGCTGGTAACACCATCTATGCATGCCCTGCTTTTCTGTTATATAGGGTGAAGTTACATATGACATTTAGACCATATTAAGGGTACTTAAAACATAAGCATCCACATATCAAAGCTTGTTAACCCATGCTAAGTGCCCTCTGAGTATCTCAAAGTTATGCTACTTCAGGCAAGGTTTAAATCTGGGCCATGATCATGTTAGGTAATCTTGGTCAGTTCCACCAAGATAAAATTTACAGTCCTTTCTAGGACAAGGGTGGGCAGTTGTTCTAGATGGAGGGCCACTTAAGGAGGTTTGATGAGCTTTTGAGGGCTGCATGGATAGCCCCGCCCCTTGACCATTGCCCTGGCTATCATCTTGGGCCCGGAAGTCTCACCCATAACCCCTGACATTTGCCACTGGAAATCCTTCCCCTTGCCTCCCAGAAATACTCCTTTGGGAGGCGGGGGGGTGGGTTGCCATCTTAGAACCAGAAAAAAAACAAATCACACAATAAAAGTCAAATACCTATTATAATATATTTTAATTTGACAAAAAATATTTTTGTCATGATTTGTATTTGCGTACTGTATATAGAAGTGATTGCGTAATTACTCAAAAATAAATTCTTAGTCTTGTATATTGTGTGGGGGTCTGCGATTGGGGTGTGTGTGGGGGTGTGTATGTACATATGTGTATACTGGTATGTGGGTGTGTGTGTATGCTGGGGTATGTGTGTGGGGGCAGTTTGTGAGGGGGTGTGGCTGTGTGTGGGGGGCAATAGGATATGTTGGGGGTTGTATATATGTGGGGGATTGTGGAGGCAGTGTGGGGGTGTGTGGCATTTGTGGGGTGTGAGGGAAGGTGGGGACCCCCCCATACTCCCCCAATGGCACAGCAGCAGAGGCAGGGGTGCTTGAGGGCTCATGCCCAGCACAGGCGCTGGTGGCCAGTGGTGTGCAGCTCCGGCCAGCCCTGCACATCGAAGTGTGCAGGGGTACAGCCCCTTCTGGGTTGTCTCTACCACCAGCACTTCCCACTGCACATGCGCAGCTCCCACACTTGCGCACCGTGCTGGAGCCAGCTCCCTGCCACTGCTTCCTGCTGCTCAGGCCCCAGGAGTCTGCGGGGAAGCAGGGGCCAGGACTCCCCTCCACTTCCAGTGGAGCTCCAGGACCTGTGCAGCAGGGAGTGGTACAGATATCCGGCTCCGGCGTGTGGAGCTTCGCTCCCGTGTGTGGAGCTTCCCTCCAATGGCACGTGAGTGCAGGGGCTTCATGTACACAGCCAGGAGTGCCAGTGGTAGAGACAGCCTGGTGGGGGCTGTACTCCACGCCATGATGTGCAGCGCTGGCCGGAACTACACACCACCAGGCATCAGCACCTGTGCTGGGTACCACTGCCCCAAGTACCCCCACTTCCTGCTGCTGCTGCATTGCCTGCAGGGGCTGCGTGCAATGGGCAGAGTGTGGGGGGTCCCCCCATCTCACACCCACATGCTGCCTACCCGAGCTCTCCGCTGCCACCAGCCCCCTGGGCATGGGCTCTTTGCTGCCACCAGCCCCAGCCCCAAGCTCTGTGCTCCCACCTAGTTGCAGCTCCGCCCCCACTCCAGCCCCTTCACTTCCCTACCTGCTGCGTGGAGTGAGCAGGACACCAGGGAAGCCGAGCAGGTCCTCTGGGGCTGCAGCAGTGACAGCAGCAGCCCCACCCAGAAGCTGCTGCTGGCTAGGCCCTTCCACCCATGAGGGTGGGAGTGAGGCGCAACAGGGTAGGTTGGCATGGTGTGTATACGTTGGTGCCTTGCTTCTATGCTCATGGGTGGAAGGGCTGGATGAGGTACAATTGGTAGGTGGGTGTTGTGGGCCCAATGAATGAGTCTGGCAGGCCAGATTTGGCTTGCAGGCCATATTTTGCCTGCCCCTGCTCTAGGATATGTTTGCCATTCACTGGGCCCTTACCCTTGACTGGAAGGATCAAATACCACCTGGGCCCCATCCCTTCACTCTTGCTTTATGTAGTCGCTTTTGATGTGGTCAGGGTCACACTGTATCATTTTACATCCTTCAAAGTAAGCACATGGTGTGAGACCAGAATTGCATTTCTTGCTTTAAAAGCAATCACACACAACAACTAATGTAACTGAATTTATACTGGTGTAAATATGTATGTTTGGCCAGAGCTTATTTAATTGCTCCAATCTATGCAGTTTCAGTTTAAGAACTGCATACATATTGGAGGTTGTAATCTAGTTTACAATATAGAATGAAACTACACAGTTTCACTGGTTTTTCAGTTTCTAAATAGATATATCTAAAGTGACATCAAGAATGTTTGTAGGCTGGCTCAAAAGTGGCTAGGTCTGTCTGGGGCTAGATATGACCTCCAGTGGTTTCTTTTTTTACCTGCGCCATTGGGAAAGGTGTAAGGAAAGATGATCTTACCCTGTAACATACGTTTCTTCAACAGGTTATGCACAACAAGCTGATTGGGAGCTTGCTAATTGGTTCCTTTAAGGTGGACCTGGGGACAGTGTATAACCAGCCAGGTAGGAGATGTGTTGTTTTCTTTCACTTTTGTTAAATTCGTGGTTTTCTCAGTTGTTTGTTTCATTCAGTTTCTGGACTGTCTTTCTCTAGGACCATCACAGAGTAATGAGGATGGTCAAACTTTGGAAGAGGCTACCTAGAGAAGTTGTGGAATTTCCATTCTTGGAAATTTTCAAGAGCAGGTTAGACAGACACTTGACTGGGATCATTTAGTTAGGGAAGATCCTGCCTTGAGCAGGGGGCTGGACTAGATGACCTCATGAGATCCCTTTCAGTGCTACTCTCCTATGATCCTAACAGGTGAAGGGCCAAGTTTTCAGAAGAATTCTTGTCTTATCTAGGCTCCAGAGTAGTACCTCGGTGGGGTTTTTTTGTTTGTTTGGGTTTTCTTGTGGGGGGGAAGAGGCGGGGAGCATTGCATATCACAAATCTTTTGAAAATCTGACCCATAAGTGCTATTGTGAGAGCTGCAGAATGCTAGGCTCATGGGTACTTCTGGCCCTTATTTCAGTTACTCAAGGGAGGAGTTCTTTGGAAATCTGGTCCCATTTGTGGGTGCTGAGCCCTGGGTGCCCCCAGGAGAGAATGAGGGAAATAGAGAGGAGTCTGGGAGAGGGGCAGAGAGAGACTGAAAAGCAGGAGAAGAGGGAAACAGGAAAGAAAGACAGAAGGAAGAGACAAAGAGAGAACAAAGAGAGAATCAGCAGCTCTAGATCTGTTCAGTGCTTCTTGAAGTTAGAAACTAGAACAACCAACCCTGGAAAAAATGTTCATAGCACCTATATATTTCTGACCAGAAAACATTTATCCATCTGAGCTCCTCTCAGTCTGTAGAAAGATTGTAGGCACCTACATCCAAGTGATTTCACTGGCAGTTAGAGGCCTAAAAACCTTTATGGCTCTGGCCTTAAATATCTTTACTTGTGACTTCTGCCACAGACTTCCTGTAACAAAGTCACATAGGAAGTCTGGCAGAGCGGCAGTGCAACAAAGTTTCTTCAATGGCAGGCTATCCATTGTAGCCACTGAACCATCTGGCCCCAGTTGACCTGGGAAGGGAATTGCTGAGGCAGTTTTGTAAAGCTATAAATAAACACATTGGTATTGTGAAGTTGTAGGAAAACAGAAGAGTAAGTGTAAATGAGAGAGACAAATGGAAAGGACAGATGGCCCAAGGACTGCAATCCCTTTATTTCACTCTTAGATACATGCACAGACAGAAATCCCATCATCCCTTTAACTGCACTATGGTATAAAAACACTCTACAGAATTGCCTCAGGGGCTTCCCTCTATCACATACTCCTTTGACATAGTCAAACAAGAAGGGGTGATGCCTGTCTGTGCCAATCAGGAAAACCCTGCTACAACCCTACTGAAAGAAGCCATGTTTAAACAGGACACAAGGTCTGGTTTGGAGAGGGCCAGAACAACTCCTGCATCTGGCACTGAAAGCCTCTGGTGGATCTACCTTTCAGCCTCTTCTCCAGATGCTTTCCACTTCTTCACCTGTCCACCCCTTTGCTTCTGAATCAACTGCAGTGCTTGTGTCTTGTTTTCAGTTCCCAGCTAGGATTTTGCTGTTGGCAACACTAAGCCCTAATCCAGGGGCAGGCAATTATTTTGGCTGGATAGCCGCTTAGTGAGTTTTGATGTCCTCTCAAAGGCCACATCTCTCTCTCTCTCTCTGTCTCTCTTCTTCCCTGGAGCTGTAGCATGCCATGATCCCCATTCTTTCTTTCTCCCCCCCTCCTCACCCAGAGCTGTAGCAAGCCCCAATCCTCTCACCCTCCCCGAAGCTGCAGCATGCGCAGATCCCCCACCTCTCTCTCTTCCCTCAACCCCCAGACCTATAGCACGGCCCGATCCCCAACCTTGACTGGAACCTACCAGCCCTGTCCGCAGCTTACACCAACACCCGCCTGGTGCAGCGGAGGCAGCCGCCAGCATCAGTTGTGGGCGCAGTTGGCAGGTTCCCAGGTGGGGATTGGAGCATCCATCCAGGTTGACAGCTGATGCTGCCACATCAGCACTGGGCAGAAGCAGTCCTGCCCGTATACCTGGCACAGTGGAAACAGTCTTAACCCCCACCCAGCACCATGTGGTGGCCAGAGCCAGAGCCAGAGCCAGAGCCAGAGCCAGAGCCACTGGCTGCCCACAAGTGGGATCTCATGAGTTGGCAGCTGCCCACCTGCAGGCCAGATATAATCAGTTGGTGAGGTGGATCTGGCCCATGGGCCGTATTTTGCCTACCCCTGCCCTAATCACTCTTCAAACTGCTCCCATTGAATAAAGCTGCTTTTCCTAGTTATTTTCTTGGACAGGCTTAAATTTCAGCCAGTTCCCACTCAGCATTTCTGACTGCTTCTCTGAGCCCCTGATGAAAATGAGTTTCTGCTCGGATTTCTCTCCCTTCATCATGTAGACGTACTATAGACATGCACAGCCCCTACTGCTAGTTACACAGGCTGAACACAACATTGCCATATCGATATCATCTTTCTGTTTTACAGGAACCTTGCCTTCCAGTCACCCTGTACCATTGTTATCACATGTAAATATACTTCTCAATCAAATGTTTCCAATGCTATTCTCATGAAAGGGCAAACCCTGTCAGCAGTGTTCTCATGATTAATGGTTAAGCTTCCCTCCAAGTGTTTTTGTAGGCTGCATCTCTAAGAACTGAGCCTCCAAAGCTTTCCTGCATGATGATTAAGCTCATGTATTTTGCAGGTCATCAGTTTTGTGATAAGTGGGCCCTTCTCACAGACCCTGCTGACATTAGAACAGGAGCCAAAGGATACCTGAAGTGTGATATCAGTGTTGCTGGGAAAGGAGACACATTACAAGCCACGCAGAAAATAAGCGATGCTGAAGAGCAGATTGAAAAGTATTGTAACAATCCTTTTACTTTGCTTCTATCCCCAAAGTGCCCCAGACAATCCAGCTACTGTCTCATGCTCCTCTTTTGATAGCACACATGCCTTGCCTTTCTGATCTGGGATTAGCAGATGCCTGTGGGTGTTTAGCTGTTTGATTTGCTGGAGGGGAGTTCTTTAATTCCACCACCAAATTAAAGAGACTGTTAGAGTCAGCTTCCTGCTTCTGATGGAGTTTGCTCTTCCCAGACCCTACTAAGTGCTAAATCATACCTGTCAGAAATGCCTTTACCCAGGGGCTATTTTAAGTATTTCTGATGAGCAACCTTTTTGTTTGCAGAATGTGCCAGATTGTAGCAGAGTTCAGGAGTCTGAAGTAAAAAAAAAAGGTTTGGGGACAGGATACTCCTTAGTTTCCTATCAGATGTATGTGCATGTGAATATATTCATACATACATATACAGCAAAGATGCTATTGCAAGTTACACGAGTTGAACATGGCACTGCATTATCTATACAGTCATTCTATTGTTTAGGAGCAGTTTTAATATTTCTAAGCAGGAGCACTTTGTAGACATCTATTTGTCAAGCAGTAACTGGAAAAATGTTTAAGGTGGAGAAACAAATGCACATCCCAAATTCCCAATTCCTTCCCACTTTTCTTCTCTGGTACATGGTATTTACCAGGCTAAACTGGAAAGAAAAATATTTTAACCACTTGTAGAATGTATTTTTGGAATAATTTGATCTTGCCTAGCTGAATTCAGTCTTAGGGAAATTACCTTTTTTTTTTTTCTTGTAGGAACCTCTTAATTCCCAAAGGATTTCCATCTGAAAGAGCTTGGGCTAGATTTTATGTGAGAATCTATAAAGCAGAGGGGCTCCCAAAGATGAACTCCAGCATCATGGCCAATGTTACCAAAGCATTCGTAGGCGACAGTAAGGACCTTGTGGATCCATATGTGGTGGTCATGTTTGCAGGTCAAATGGTAAATGGGATCATATTGATCACAAGAGTTAGGCCTTCTTCTCTCTCTGCTGAGTAACCGTCAGAATTTAAAGCTGATGCACTCTTATTCAATGTTTTGCCGTCAACAAGAATTCTTCAGTCCCCAAATTGCTGTGAAAATCAGGGACTGATTACCAGTGGCATACTAGTAGATTCAGCCTCAGCTAGACCTACAGAAAATAAAATCCTTTAGCGTTCCATTAATAAAGAATCAAATCACAGTGAAGTGAAATGACACACGCTGGAAATACAGTGCTGTAATTCCCTCGCACTCAGCCAAAGGCTGGCAGGCGGGGGCGGGGGGGGGCATGCTCTGGATCTTAGAACCGTAGATTCACTTGGGAATTTCACAGCTGGAATTCTGCACCAGTGCAGATCTTCTACGGTAGGGACAGAAGTCACACATAAACCAGTTCAAGTGATCAGAAACCAGTTTAAACCTGTAACAGGGCAGAAATTCATTGCACTTAAACTGCTTTCAAAATTGCCAAAACTGGTTCAAGGTAAACCTGGTTGGATGTAGTATCAGACTTAACTGATTTAGGTCAAACCAGTTTCTGGAACTTCCCTCCCAGATCAAGTTAACTCACAGTCTCCCAGCATCCCAGGATGCTTTCTCACCCTGGGCTGTGCTGTCTGCTCCAGCGGAGCAGGGTTTACCTCACCCCTCGACTCACTAGCCAGAGCACTATCACTCCTTTGGACTGCTGAGGAGGGGGTATGGCTGGGGGACTCCAGCCCGGCTCCCAGCTCCAGGAGGGCAGGTGGGGGGAAGAATCATGCATGGCTTTGGGCCGGGGGAGTAAATCCCCACTGAGGGCTACTCTCCCCCACCCCAAGCTGGACAGTACTCGTCTGGAGGTCCGGTGCCAGGCTGGTGGGGGAGGGGGTCCTCCCCACCCTAATGTCTAAAGTTTAATATTCAGTCTGGTAATGGGGGAGGGACAGGGCTCAGGGGACCCTGCCAGGGTTGGAGATCCCTCTGAGGCTAGGGAACCTGGCCAGCCCCCCGCTGGAGAGAGTGTTCCCCCCGAGTGGGATCCATAAGTGTTTGAGGGGCATGTGCTGGGCAGCCCGTCAAGGATGAGCCCTGCTCGGCTGCATTTGGGTGCCTTTGGCATGGCCAGCAGGCTGGGAGGTGTGCTCTATCACCTCCTGGCTGCTGGTATGGACCTCTGCAAAGGTCTGGCTGCCTTTCCAGTTTCAAAAGTGAACAAGAGTTCACTTGTTTATGGTTCAGTCTATGCAGTTAAGAGAAACCTACAAAGTTTGAATTGATTCAGCCTGGGGCTTTTTAACTGTCTGTACTTAGGTCCAGTGACAACAGCCAGGGAAGTAATAGTTAGTCCTAGCTCAACTTCCATTATCAATATGTTGTCTAACCCTACTTCTCCTGACCCTCGTTATACAACAGCTTCCAGCATTGCTTTCTGCAATAGAGCTGCCCTGTTGGTGCCATTAGATTTATGATGATTGCTAGTAGAGATGACATCCAAGGACCCACTTCTTGTCTTACCCAAGTGTAATTTCAGGGACTGCCTTGGAGTTAGTCTTGGTTATACTTGTGTTAGCAAGATCAGATTTAGGTAGAATCTTTCACAAACTTTCAATAAACCTGTAGATGCTTTTGTGCCTTAGGAGAGTTTTTCAAGACCAACATGTTTGGGAATGCAAATGTGTATTTTTTTCAGACTCCTAAACTCCACTCGCACATTTAACTTGCATACCCAAATCTGACTTTTTGAATTTGCAAAATTTCACGCCCCCCAAAATATGGGTCAAAATATCTGACCTATTTGTGGATGTGTGAGAGTCATTGTGGCCGAACGTAGGCACACAACTCAAGTTTCCTGTTCAATGCAGTTCTGATTACAGAAAGGAGTGGTTTGGTGGTGTGGTTCTGGGATGCAGAGAGTAGGGCTAGAGAAGATAGACCTATAGTTGCATGGTTCCACACTGGCTGTTTACAATGAATTGGGCATGCCAAAGGCTAGAGGGTTATTTCCACCTTTGGTTGCAGTGTGGACCCTGAAACAGCACCGCTGTCATTGTCAGGCCTAGGAGGGGGAAATTCTAGCCCCTTTGGCCTTTCCAAAGGTGCTTAGCACATAGTCCAATGACATGGGAAACGCACTGGCAGAAAATACCAGTGTCTGAGCACACAGATAGATTTGTGCATGCAAGATAGGATAATTATTGCACTATTTGTGGGTAAGCATTCTAAAACAGGAACATGACCCGTCATTAAATAAGTAGAGGAAAATAAGAAACTTCTTGCACCCATTATTTCAGTGTTGTATCCATCTTATGTTAGTGCTGGCTAGCATAAAAGGAGACATGCTTTCGAATTATAGTAAATATACTAGTTTGGATAACTGCTTTTAAAAACTGTTTGTACTTAGATCAATGTAGATCAGACAGAACTTGTTAGACTCAGCTTTGTTCTCCCAAATCAGATCTAGTCTTACAGTATCTGAAGTTGTTGGGCTTTCATTTCAGGGCCGAACAACAGTGCAAAAAAACTGTGCTGATCCTGTGTGGCATGAACAGATCGTCTTCAAAGAGATGTTCCCCCCACTGTGCAGAAGAGTCAAAATCCAGGTGTGGGATGAAGGCAGCATGAATGATGTTGCTTTGGCTACTCACTTCATAGATCTGAAGAAAATCTCAAATGAACAAGATGGAGATAAAGGTGGGGGGAGGAATGTTTGTTGTTAAAAACTGTTACAGGCTCATAGGATTCAATTTACTTACTAAAGATCTGGGCATCAGGTAAATACCATTTAAAGAATACAAAGAGTGAAATGATGCTCAGACCTTTTGTTGATTCTGAGAGAACACCCCCATCCCTGCATGTTATTCAAAGCCAGATCTCATTATGTGCTTGATGGCCCATTGTGCATGTCCTGGTGCATGTATTGCCCTCTGTCACAATAGGCACCTATACACAATTGCAGAGGCTGTTCCAATGTGCTGGAAATCCAGTGTGTTGGAGCAGAGTTGATTAATCAAGTCTGCTGGAGTGTGGCAATTACTGTGCTTCAGCAGCCTCCTGTGTCTCGTGTATCAGCGTCCCCCATGCTTAAAAATGGTGGCGGGGGTGCTTGAGCTAAAGCTCCTCAAACAAGCTTTAGTTCAAGTGCCTGCTCTGCCGTCTTTAAGCACAGGGCCGGTGATATGTGAGACGTGGTGGTGCTTGAATGAGAGTGGCTCTCAGCTGCTCTAAGTAAAGCACCGCCCTCCTACCCCCAGAGCACATGTGAAAGTGCCCGATGCTACTAAATAACATTATTTTGCTTAGTATCATCTCTGGAAATGCTGCAATCACGTTGCCATGGGATATTTCTAATTCAAGCAAAATGAATGCAGGACATACACCACTGCACTCTCACTGCTAGGTAGAAAAGTGACACTTGCTCTTAAGGGACAGATCATGAACCGTTTCTAGATATCTGAGAGATAAGTTCTCTCCCCAGCACCCAGCCCATGTAATGGGGTTGGGAATAGATATATCATCAGTCATGGATTCTAATGTTTTGCTGGGTCTGAGTTGAGAACAATTTGAGGAGGAAGAGGAGGAATCTTTTCTCTTCCCCCATCATGGCCTGAGTCTGCAGAGCAGGGAGCCAATGCTTCTCCATTTTAAGAGCTACAATAGTTTTCTTGGCTCTAGGACTTCACCTGTTCTGCTGAAGAAATCTCAGAGGAGCTTAAAAGTGGCAGACGCTCTGATTCCTAAATTCACTGCTGGGGAGACTCCAGCATCCCCTAGAAATGGCATTAGATCGAGTCCTCAGTGATTATAGCTCTCAAAGAAAGAGCTCTTGTCAGCAGAATGTGTAAAGTTGTAAGGCAAACACTGTAAAATATATCTTATCTGCAGGGTTCTTGCCTACCTTTGGACCAGCTTGGATCAATCTCTATGGTTCACCCAGGAATCACAGTTTAATGGATGACTACCAGGAGCTCAATGAAGGATTCGGGGAAGGAGTCTCTTTTAGGGGCCGCCTTCTGATTGAAATTGCTGTGGAGATACTTTCTGGAGGTGCTCATGAATCTACATTTTCAAAGATCATAAAGTTCCGCTCTAAAGATAAAGACTCCAAAGCATCTAAAGGAAAAGACAAAACAGACAAAGCAGCAGAGGATGGAAAATCTTCTTCTTCAGATAAGACAAACTCAACCGAGGTGGAAGTTGAGCCATTCGATGTGCCTCCAGAGGTCAGTATAGAATATAGAGACTGATGGATGCTTGTTTCAAAGTACCTGAAAAGTAGGCTCTGAGCACGCAGCTGAGTCCCTAATGTGGAATCCTGTGTCTTTCAGAAACTTTGCTTTTTACTCCCTGCCCTACGTGCTGCTGTGATGCCTGTCCCCTCTCCCATCTGCCACATGCCACACATAGAGGCTGTCTGTGCCACTTGTATCAAGTTGGCCACCCCTTTTCTACATTGATCCTGACTATAATGGTCGATGTTATTTTTATTTGCATGATGTTAGCACTCTGAACATATGCAGGGTGATGTACATATAGAGGACAAATCCAGTCTTATATCTGCCTACTGTGTCATTTCTTGCACTTTGCTCTAAGTCTGATGCTGACAACTGTCAGAAATATGACGGTGGGCTAGAGGGAACCATGGATCTGACCCAACAGGTCAGCATCCAAATTCCTGAGTCCTCCTATTGAACAGTTCCTGGTCTAATGGTGAGTAGCTTTGTTCTGACATAGAATATTCATTCTCCAATAATGCTTAAACTGATTGTCCAGACAGGTGCATGTATGCATAAAATAATAATTTGTAGCTATGTGTTATTTAAATATCCATTTTTAGTTTTAGGGGGCCATAATAGGACACCCCTAATTTAAAATAAAGTAGTGCTAGACATCTTAAATGGTTATCTGAGCATGACAGGCAAAGTGTCATCATAGGGCAACATGTAGACGCACCCATACTTTCCTAATACAATTGTGCGTCTACATGTTGCCCTATGATGACATAGTGATGCACCGCATTACCATACAGCCCTAGGGGGACTCCTCTGCATTGCTCTATGGAACCTCTACAGTGTATGGCACCCCTACAGTGCCATACAGTGCGCTATGGTGATGTAGTGATCACGAGTGTCTACATGTGATTGCCAGCTATGCCACTGTAGAGGCGCGCTTCCTGGGTATAGCACACTGTTACAGTGATGTAGTGGCAAAATCTACCCACGTGTGGAGTACATGGCACAGTAACTGCCTGTACTGTGCCATGCTTTAATACTTCCAAAAGGAAGTATTAAAGCATGGCGCCATAGCAACATCGCCATATGGCTATATGTAGACACGCCATTCGATATGGGGTGGTAGCAAAGCATGGCACCATTCACACTTCTACCTAAGGCTACTCTCATTTCCTTTTATTAGGAGCCTCTCTCTTAATGAGAGTTCAGACTGGAAAATATAGTTTGCAGATTGCAGATATAGAACTTGGGGTTGCCTTCTTTGAAGTTGGCTAATTTTTCTGCTAGCATAAGTGGACACAGCTCCATTGTCTGTGGTGGCATTCCATGCATTTGACTCAACCTTCTTCTGCTTTGACTTCTTCTGCTTCTCCTTAATACCCACCTGTATTGCAATGCTTAAAGGAAACTACCAGGTTAGGTTAAGTGGAAATCCAGTGGGAATAACTGATATTTATAAACACTGAGTTTGATTCTCTGATTTTATTTTTGCAAATCAGTAGTTGCTCCATCAAAACCAGTGTAAGTGCAAAGAGAAGCAGTCCAGATGATTGCTTGTTGCAGCCTTTTTCCATCCTTCATGATTCCTGTATTATTAAACTGTTAGCTCTTTGGGAGAAGTAATATAACTCACTGGGCACATCTACATGTGCATTAACATGCTTTAGTTAATGCACATTAAATCTAGTACCCAGAGGCACAACTCTAGGCATCTAGGTTACTCTGTCATGAAGTAAGGCATCTGGTGATTGAGATGCCTTCTGGGTTAGGCAACAGCTGAGTAAAGATTGCAATTTTAGACTTCAGATGCTTAAACTGTGCCTAAATCGTCCTTTAGATACCTAAATTCCTTTTTGTAGGGGGGGATTGTCTTTTATTGACTTTTCCTGTGTCTCAGTTCCCCCTCTATTTCTGTTCATGAGGAAAACAGAGGTGTTGTGAGGATAAGTACCTTAAAGATTGCAAGGCACTGAGACACAATGCAATGAGGCTGAGAAAAATATTTAAGGTAGATAAATAGACTACTGCAGCACCAATAAATATTAATAGCCATAAGAAGGATTTATTGCTAGTAATTAAGTTTAACTCTCAAAAACAGAATGACTAAGATGCACCAGCACAACTCCAAGATATTTAACATTTTTTTGTTTTTTGGCATTCAACTATATTTCATGCTACAGAAGACACATTCATTACATTTCGGGTCTGCAAAAGGGATGTTGGGAATGCTGGAGATTACAAGAAAACAGAAAAGCCATAAAATGTGTGATGTTTTCATCAAGTCTGTGGGCTCACAGGGGCAAATCCACTTGCCTTCCTGTCTGACATTACTGACTGAGGCTCCTCACAAGAACATATTGAACATTTGAGATTTATTCCTTTGATAAATGGGAGTAGAAATGTATCACCAATACTGAGTCAGGGCTTTACTGCTTTCGAATGTTGTTAGAAACATGGAAGAGGGAAATTAGAACTGATCTTCAGCTGCAGTTAATTCTTGTGGCTAGCTTCAATATGAGGTGTTCTCATGGTTTCATCCCACACCTCACCCCACAGTGACACATCCCTCAATTCTTTCAAGATGAGGATACCTTGGGTTATACCAAGATATTAGCTCCTTTGTGAAAGGCAGGTGGATTATTATTAAATTACAATTTTAAAAACCCGCCCAGACACAAGGACACAAGGACAGGGGGCCAAAAAAAGAGGACTTGACCAGGAAAACCCAGATTTATGGTAACCCTATGGCCAACTTTGCTCTAAGTTATATTCAGTGTGGCAGCATGCACATGGTGGGGTTACAGTGGAGATAACAGGGACAATCGGATGGGACATAACTCAGAGTAGCATCTGAGCCACTAAATCCTGCTTAACTAATCTTAAATTAGGGAATTTTGTTTTGCAAATTAGTTTAGGGCACTGAAGGAATTGGTCCAATCACCTCATAGGAAAGTATGCACCATTAGCTAGTGGGGAGTGTGTCTCCCAATATGTCTGTACAGTTCTGCATTGTCAACCCTTGATAAATACTATTAATACTCCATAGCATGTGTCAGCTTGGTAAAGGTGGGCTTAGCTGCACACAATAGGGTTTTATTAAAGTTAGTTAAAAATATATACTTTTTTCAAAAATATTTTGGTCTTTCTGATTTACTGGCATTTAACAGAGAGGTCCCTGAGTTTTCTGCAATTCTCATTTTCACATCATTCAGAAAACAGTAGTGCAAGTCTCTGGCCAGAGGCATAACTGGACAGTTCTGTGCCCTGGGTAGCACTGGTGCATTGAGCAGGCTACTGGCAGCGGCTAGGCCAGCAGCTATTTTGCAGCTCCTGCTTTCCCAAGTAGCCACCTGGGGCTGACGCCTTGGTCCCCCCACCCTTAGTTACATTCCTGGTGATAGAGGTGAAAGAAAACATTAATGAACCATCATACCATCACTGTGTGCAGAACCTCCCTTTTTCTTTGCCACCTGATCCAAAGCCCATTGAAAGAAATAAAAAGACTCTTGTTGATTTCTGTGGGCTTTGGATTGGGGCTGTCATCTATCAATGTGGCATGGTGTGCCACTTTTGAGCAAGGTCAGAAGGGTTAAAAAGAATTTAATTCCAACCAATGTGAGAAGTTTATTGATTAATTGACAAAAACACGATTAATTGCCAAAGATCAGCATAATCTTATGGGATGAGTCTTGTCTGCCATGGAGCAGCATCGGCCAGCGTTCTCCATAGTGAGGGTTGGGGGAGGTATCCTCCTTCAATGCCCATCAGACAAGCATCTTGGTATGCGCAGCAGTCCCACAGGTGGTGTTGTCTGAGGAGTTACCCTCCAACCTTTTCCAGTCATATCTTCTATTTATTGAAAGGCTGGTAAACATGATCTTAATATTTTAATCAGGGATTCCTGATTGGCTTTATTTAAATTTCTTTGTTTCCCTGACAGATGAGGTTCTTTGGATAAATCTGATATTTTGAATTAGACCAACTAAAATAGCTGGAAAAATTCTTCTTTGCAAGTTTTTGGGTACAAACACCCTTCTTCAGGCACAGGGAGCACCTGCAGTTATTTTGTGCTCTCTTGGATGCTCTTTCTTTGTTTCACTGCAGCCTTTAGAGCTGGATCAGACCAGATTCTTCTTTGTGGATATGAAAGTTGTAACTGAATTGGGGATGCATACCTTTAGCAGCAGGATACTTCCTTATTGTCTTTCTTTTACACTACTGTCTCTCACAATTTATCTAAACATTTGAACAACAATCCATTTAATACTTCATGCATTTGCCACTGCAGCTTTGCTGTATCTGGTTCCGGACATACTTCAGCATCAAACACAGGCTTCTGTTATGCAAAATCAGCCTTATACTATAGCTTGGCTGCCTGCTCTGAGTCATGTAAACATAGAGGCCCACACATGTCACAAATGTTTCAGTTCTTTTATAGCCACATATATCATAAGTGTCAATTCTGCACCAACAATGAAAAGATGTTGAGGGCCTTCAAATCCTGTTGACTTCCCTGGGGCCTGGAGTGTGCTCAGCCTCTCCTAGGATTAGGCTCCTATTGACTGAAATACATTAATACATGGGCAATAGACGGAAGTCACCCAGGGGAGCCTTCAAAGGGAGCACAGGCATGCATTAGAACGCTACAGTTTAATATAGTATGGATAAGAAATTGTATTACCACCTTCAGTTTAATATGACTTATTTTAGGGCAGGGATATTTGATGGGTACTGTCACATTACAGTGTCTGTGAATTGCTCTAGAAAGATGATTTGAAAAACTGCCCTTCAATAAATGAACAAGCTGAAACCATCAGCAGAGATTCCTATGCACTAAAATAATATTAAGAGGTAGAACAAATATTATTTCTCACTTTCCCTATAGATCCATGGAGAGCAACTTGAGGAATTTTTTCTCTTTGGGGCATTTTTTGAAGCCACAATGATTGACAGGAAAGTTGGAGATAAACCAATAAGCTTTGAGGTTTCTGTTGGTAAGTATGGAACGCTCTTCTCCAATCCATAGAGTAAATCTTTGTGTATTACAGTGACTTTATTACTGACAGATGCATTTCACAGAGCTCAGGGGCTGACTTCGGAGAAGGACTTTGAAATTTCAATTAATTTCTGAACCTAATGGTATTGACAGTTATATTATTTCTGGATATTCCTTCTTTTAGACAACCTGGGGACCCTGATACTTTGCTGCTTCCCTTTATAGTTGGATCCTGTATACTCAGATCCTTCTATTTAGTACCCATGCACTGTCTCATTGTCTCAGCACTTTGCATCTCCATGAGAGGGATACATTGGAAGGAATATTTACTTAGGGTGCAGATCACTTAATTGAAGCTACTGCAGTTCCTCAGGACTCTTAGGGCACTTTTACACATGCTCTGGGGCAGTGGGGTGTGTGGCGCTTTAATTAGAGTGGTTCTGAGACATAAGCAAAGCGTAGGAGAGGCATGGAGGGTGGGGGCATGTGCCCCCCCTGAGACTGGCTGCCGCCAAAGCCACCGGCGGCTTCTGCGGGTGGTCACTGCTCTTACTTGCCCCCTCCTCACCACCAACGCAGCTGGTGGTGTCTGCAGGTGGTTGCCGCTTGCCCCCCTTCTCCTCCGCTCACTGCCATGCCGTCCCCCAGTTGTGGGAGGCACCAACCATTCATTTTCCGAGAGCTGCTCTAATTAAAGCACCACACCTTGTGTATCAGCATCCCTGCACTTCAAAATGGCAGCAGGGGTGCTTGAACTAAAGGTTATTTAACAAGACACGGGAGGTTGCTGGAGTGTGGTAATTACCATGTTCCAGCAGACTTGATGAATCGAGCTTGTGTACAGGCACCCTTAGGGATTCCCTAAGGAGGGGGATCCAGGGAGTTGGGGATCTCCTCGTGCAATCCTACCAATCCACTTCTGCTTGCAGATGTATGAGGGCACCAGGGCAAAGCTGAGCTGCACCACACCGACAACTTTACGCTCCCTAAATGTCCTATGTTCCTTTCTAGTACATGAGGACTGTACTGCTTGTGTTGCAAAAGGGGATCGTTCACAGCTGTGGAAAGGCAGGAAGTCGGGGATTGGATTTGCCCAAAGTAGAAAATAGGTCACTTAATAAATAAATGTTAGTTGAATAGTTACAAACCTCAACTGAAAACCTACATCCAACCTCTTTTCTCTTGAGGAAGTGTGACCATCCTTCTCTGAATTAGTTCTTCTTAACAATTTGTGTGCTCAGGAACATTTCCAGAATGGCAGGGCTATACTAGATCATCCCCATGTTATCTTTCCATGTGATTAGTTGTCTGGGCGTGTCTGTTTTCTGAAGAATGTGTATGAACACGGAGGGACCTCATAGACAAAAAAAGCTATGTGTAATATTGACCTACACTTAGACTTGGTAGGGAGAATGAGCCAGGATTATCAAGAAGTGCATTTGTATACTTGAATGATAAAAACCAAAAGCTGGCTCATGTTAAGAATGAGCTGTCAAGATGAGTCTGGCTCTGAACCCTGGATCTGAACAGCTACCAGTTTTGCCTACTGTTGGAAATCGGATCCAAATCTGGCAAATGACCTTTATTTATATAATAGGCTGAAATTAAATCCAAATCTATTCAGTGTAATGATATGAGATTCAGGATCCCCTTTTGTGTCTTAAGCCCATTTCTAATAAAAATTTGTACTAGTCAGTCTAACACACACCTCTCCCTTGTTAATACTGGTAACCACTGCATCAGGTAAACTTCTATATGTATCACTGATTGGACTGTTAGCAGAAAAACTGAGTGCCATAAATGAAATTTGGTCCTCACAGTATTCCTATTACTAAAGACCCCTTCTTAAGCCACAATACTATATCTGCTTGAATGAGAAATAACTTTTACTTCTGAGATGAGCTCTTGTAAAGAGGATCCACATGATAAAAACAGGAAATAAAATCACTGCATAAATCTTGCCTGCCTTATCTCCCTCCCCACACCTCTTTCTTCCCCATGCACACACTACGAGCTGGGCCTATAACTCTGTACTTTCCATTCCAAAAATACCGTCTGCTATCAGTTGGCTTCTCAATTCATTTAGCTCTAGAGAATGTCCCTTATTCTCTCTGTGGACCAGTCACTAAAGTTCATCTTTACTTCCAGAATGGCAATATGTTGCTAGCCCTAGTTGGCATCTTAATGCTACCAGATAAAGTAGCTAACAGAAACTGCTGGCATAGATCCTGAATAGATTATGTGGCTGATACTTGCTGTCACACTGCTGTAACTCTTAGCTGAGGAGAAGGAGGGAGCTGAGACATCCAGATGGAATTGCTGGTCAGTATTTTGTATTCAGGCTCTGGCCTTTTCACTTTTGCTCCAGCAATTTTTGGCTCCTGTCATTTTAAAAAAAATAAATCTTTAAAATGTCATAAACCTTTCACTAGAGGTAAGCAGGCTGATTCAAGAAATCCAAAATCTCTACACTGTCTGGGCACATGCTCTGCAATACTTGACTTCACCAGAGTCTAGTGTTTCTGGTCTCTTAAACAATCTAGAAGCCTACTGAGAGCACAGTGGGCCTGAGTTCCCTTAATACTCTTGACACTTTGTTGAATTTGATAGACTGACATGAGTAAAACCACTGTAAAAGGACTATTGAGTTCATAGTATGTATTGACTTATAGACCATTGTGCATCGGTTCTTGAACTGCAGTCTGTGGACTTTGGTAATAGACTGTACCCCATGCTGTTGATCAGTAGAGAACTGGCAGGTTACTTGGTGTTTAGATTCTTTATCACAAGAAAAGCCCCCTGAGCCAGTAAAAGGAACTGGAAGCAAGGAGGAAGAGCAAGGAGGAGCCTGCAAGGAGGGCAGCTTTTACAGAAGACCAGGAAGAAAGGAATAGGAGCTGGACACACAGAGACATTGCTATATCAGTTCTTTTTCTTTTAATAGATTAAGACAGGGGCTGGCAACCTATGACCTTTAACCATGGGAGCCATCAGATCTGGTTGAAGCAAGGGGGCTTTGGCAGCATTTGGTGGCAGGAGGTTTTGGTGGTGTTCAGTGCCACAGAGCACCGCATAGACTGTGGCCAAGCAGCAGGGAGAAGTGGCAGTGACAGAGGCTAGGTCCTGGCTCTTGCCTGCCTTGATCTTGGCTGGGTCATTCCATGCCACCATAGGACCGCTGGACAAAGGCAAAGAACAGATCCTTCTCGTTGTTAAATAAGCTTTAGTTCAAGCACCCCTGCTGCCATGCTGAAGCGCAGGGACACTTATATACAGTTTTAGCACCTGTGTAACTTCATTCCACCAGCTGTCCTCTGACTTTGTACCCTTGTTTTGTACCCTAGGTAACTTTGGGAATGTCATTGATGGAGGGTCGCCAGGAGCGGGGAGTAAAAAAAAGGGTCATGAAGGAGAAGAGGAAGAAAGTGCTCCTCTGCTGCATGAAGGGCAGAGTGAAGCTTCCCCTGACATTGCAATGCCATTGATATCCACAACCCACCCCGAGAAGCCTCTTATCACAGAAGGAAACAGGTAGATCATTTAAATGTCATATGTATAACTTGCAGATCCCTGGGTTTTGCCCTGTACCACTGTGACATAGATTTGAGTTTCATTAATATAAACCCCAGCAGAGCTGGAGAGAGCTTATGCTTTAAAAGAGCAGCTGATCATTGAACATAGTGAAATATAACTTGCCACATCCTTAGCAAAAATAGGCCAAGTTCCATTTAAGTCAATGGATGTGTGCTGATATCCACCATCCAAGAATGTTGACCTGTAATGAGAGTTGGCCACGGTTGTTTTTGTGCATTACGTGGCCTCTCTAAGCATGCAGGTAAAGGCATTTTTAGAGGTTATGTGTGATCTACACAATCGCTCATCCTGCCATGCCACACACGCATGGTAGAAGGTGTGATTGTGGGATCACTCATTAGATCCTATCATGCCGTATTGCCAGTGCAGGGGGAGCCTGATCCCTCCACCAGCAAGAAGCAAGCTCCCCTGGCGGGGAGCCCAGGTCGGCTGCTGGACTTTCCAGCCATGGGGGCACACTATGTGCTCCCACAGCTGGAAGCCCCATCAGCTGACCTAGACTCGCTGCCCTGGATTCCCCCCCCACATGTGAGCTGTGATCAGCTGATGGGGCTCCCAGCCACAGGGGCCTCTGGCCATGCATTCAGTTAATGGCACGATAGGAAGCAACTACCAAGTTATTACATATTTTTTGGTACAACCTTGTAGCTCATTTCCCTTTTTTATCATACCATTTATTGATTGAATATGTGGCTGGGTGACCACTTGAGGCATGATTAACTGGTTAATCATACCTTAAGTGTAATGTGTAGATGGGGCCTATGGAGTCAGAAAAAGGAAGGTAAAGTCTTTTTTTGCATCAATACCACTGATGATAGGGAAGAACTCTGTTGAAATAAATAAGACAATACGTGAAATGCATAGCAGAGATATCAGAATTTAGTTCTTTTTTTTGCTGAGAAAACAGATTTGTTTCCAAAAGCACTTTCCAGAACTCTAGGAAGTAGGAGCACTTGTACACGTGACAATGTTACCATGTACACATGATGGAAATTTCCCTTTGTGTGGCTTAATGGCCTCACACTTTACATGTACATGAGTTTTGGGGCTTTTAAATGAGTTTGCAGCATCATAAACTAAACCACATGCCGTTGTAGTTTAGTTTGCAACATTGCAACTTGGAACGTTGTAGCCATTAATCTGCCAGCTCGCCCCCAGCCACAGGAGAGGCAGGCAGGCTCCACTGAAAAAAAGGATCAGGCCCCTTGCTGCTTCTGCCTTCAGCAGGCACCAGTGGCCACCAGGACACCTGGGACTGCATGGGAATGGGCTGGCTTGCCTCTGGGGCAGTGCAGGGAGGTGGCAGGAGGACAGCTGGGTGTGCTGACGGCTGGAGAAGGTGACAGGGATGGTGCATGAGGTGCTAGAAGCCCAGGCGAGCTTGGAGAAGAATTGGATTGGGCACCTCCAAGCTGGGGCAGCACCCAGCCCTCCAGCCTGCCTGGCCAGCTCTGGAGGACACCACCGCTGTGGAGGGAAGGACTAAGGTCCCCCGCATTAACTCACCCCCCAGGCACGGGAGAGGCGGGCAGGCTCCACTGAAAAGAAAAAAGGATCATGCACGTATACAGTGACAGAAACATAAAACCCACTGTTTCAATTAAAAACTCACCGTTTCAATTTATGGGGCATAGAATGCAACCCGGAAGGACTAAGCCCCCATCGCATGTACAAGCACCCTAGGTTTCCACCATTAAGCAACACATACAAGGAAACAAATGGGGAAAATGGAAGACTGATAAGCCATGGAGAAAAAACGGAGAGTTGATATAGCAAATAAAAACAGAAATAAATACTGCTGCAGCTGAATTTAAGGACAGGCGGGATTGTCCTTGAGGAAAAAAAGAGGTTAAGGATTTAATTCCATTTCAGAATGGAAACAATGGAAGCAAACCCCACCTTTGCTGCTTTGGCCACTAGGACTACCCTCCACGAGGAAAAGGCAAGACCATCCCACTAGGACTATCACTGAATTCAAGGAAGGTTTGTAGTGCAGGAAGCTCAGGAGGCAGGAGTGACTGATGCCTCCTGAATCTGGGGGGCACCCGCAGAAGCTGCCGACGGTGGTGGCCCTGTGGGGGGTGGGGCACCAGCCCTGCCAACAGCATCGGTATCAGCCATAGGGGGGGCACCGGCCCCATCGGGGGGGCATATGCACCCCCGTGCACCCCCTTCCAGTCACCTATGTCAGAATGTGACAGTACCTGTCACCGCCAAGCGTCAGGGCAGTGCCAGTGGAGATTATAGAAGTAGGGACCAGCTAGATTGGGTGTTAGTTTGGATCCTGCACCTGTATGGGGTGCAGAGGTGCTTGGGTGGAGTCCTGCCTTATGGTAAAGAACACAGTTAGAAATAAACAGTGAAACTAAGGGGAAGTGAAGATTGCATTGATGGTCTGTCATTTCTGCGGCAAATAAAGACATAAATATCAGTGTCTGTCAAGTGGTTTCCTCTCATCATAATGCTGTAGATTGGGCCCATGCTGAGTTACTATCTTGTGAGGCAGACCGAGGGATTATTAGATTTCCCCTTGACAGGAATTTATGTTTTAAGAGCTACAGAAAAAGGAATAAACTTCTTTCTTTTCAAAGCTGCAGCTCCATTTTTTGGCTCATTTCTTTCTTTCTTTCACTACGGATCCATTTTCCTTTCATTTGCGCAGCTATAAAATGTTTTGCCTCTTATTTTTCTTTTCTTGTGCTGTCTGTCTTCATATACCCTAGTAGGGACACTTGTGACTCCTTATGTTAGCGTTTCATTGATGCTGTCACAGTAGCTGAAACGTTATTCCTAATGTTAATCAATATTTGATCAACTGACAGATCAACTCTATTTGATAAATCAGATAAGTATTAGATCTATAAATTGGCTTTAAAATAAATTGTTTCAACTGTAGAAACACTTCGGTGTTTCAAAATGTTATCTGTTTAGAAGTAGAATTAGAAAAGTGGGACTTGCCATACGAATTGCCTATGATTTTTCATATTTAATATAATGCATATAATGCATAACAAGAGCAAACTATAGAAAGGAATGGCTGTGCTCAGCACCCCATGGAAGGATTAATAATAGGAAGTTTCAGTCTTTTAAGAGAAGAAGATTTTAAAAGCAACAGCTCACCCATAAAAGAACCAAAAAGTTCTGTGAATCACGATTAGGAGAGTTCTGACATATACTTCCACTCAGGAATGAGTTTGGGATGGTCTTGCCTTTTCCTCGTGGAGCAGAACGAAGGTAAAAACCCATCAGTTGTATAGATGTCCCAAGATTTATGTGGCCATACTACTTAAAATCAAAACTCCTATGGAATTCACTAGGATTGAATTCACAGTAGCTGTACGTTACTGCAGTCCTGGAGAATTGTATCGCGTTATGATATTCCATAGGATGGTTACATATAACCACAAAGAAGATTTCATTCTCTTAAATCTATATTTTTAGAGTACCTTTTACAAAAACCTATTTACTGTATTTTCTTTGGAACCCCATGGGTTACAGCCAGGATTTTCAAAAGCGCCTAGAGTTTTTAGTTGCCTTAATTTCTGAGTGACTTGAAACACTTTAAAGGGGCATGGATTTCAGGAAGAGGCTGACCACCCCTGGCTTTAACTCAGGTCTTTTGAGTTGGATACCCCAAAAGATGAAGGTCACTAAAGTTAGTAGTTGCTTTTGAAAACTGTGGCCATCAGACCTATTAAATTTTATGAGAATGAAGAATTTCTTTTGGGGGCATATTTACAGATGGACAAAAAGCCTTCTTTTCTCTCCCAATTCTCTCTTATTATAGTAGTGTGACTCCTTCCAAGCTAACCTGTTACATCTCATGGTAGAGTACGAAGTCTCCTTGAAGACAGGGAGATCTGTGGTGTAGTCAGGAAAGTTTATCTGTTATCATTTTGGGAACAGCTTGACAGTCCACAGAGACAAGACACTGGAGCAAATGGCCAGTTCCCTGGAATCCCCCTTCTTCAAATGCAGAGCACCAGGTCCACACTCTGCGAGTGGAGTGGCTTCCCCAGGGACACTGTCTACTCTCATTTTCACTGTTTTTCTCCTCTCCTCTGACATTAGCAAAGTGCACCGAATGGGTCTATAGAGTGGCATCTGATGCATGCTGAATCCTGTGGGGCTGACTGGAGCAATTTGTAATGGCAGGGTGGTGGGGGGAGGATCTCTTTTGAAAGGGAATGAATTCAATGCTATAGGAATGAGAGAGCTATTCTGATGGCTGCCTTCAGAGATATCTTGTCAACATGGCATTTACAACATTTTACATCTAAGCATCAGACTCCCTGGCAGACGTATGCTACATTTTATGGAGCTTCCAGCCAAACTAGTCTCCTGCTGGTTTTCCATTTTCAGGGAAATGATTTAGCTGAAGGCACAAATTAAATGTAGCACAAAGCAGTGAGCTCTTGGGTTTAAACTAAAGATAACTCCTGAGAACAGAAAAAAATACATCTACACTTTATTATTGAGCCATTTCCAGTCCTGGTATTATACCCACATACTCCCTCCAGTCCTGCTTCTGCCAGGGAGAAGTTTCTACAGATACCACTTCAGGGAAATGAATTTTGACAGGAGCAAGCTGGTAAAGCGACTGGTGTGTGTTTGTTCTGCGTAGATGTTACACAAAGTCCATTGGTTTTCCCATAAGAGTAGACCAAAATTTACTCTCCCCTCAGTATTACACAGTATGATCTGCATCTCTTGTTGTAGGAAGTAACAACCAACAGGCATTAGTGGTGCTCCGAGTGTCTAGTTTTACTGGCTTTGCTCCCTTTCCTCGTCAAAGTTCAGGAGTACTAAGTCAATCAGTTCTGATACTGTCGTATTTGGAGGCTAGGGAATTATTTCTTCTGCCCTTTCTTCTCTTCCACCAAGTCTTAGAGGCTGCAGTTTGCTACCAGTATCATAGAGATGATACTACTTATCATAGAGAAGTAGGGCTGGAAGAGACCTCATCAGCCTTCAGGTTGCACATTTTTTTAACAACTGCCCCATTGGTTGAAAGACAGAGATGTATATTAACTTACACTCAAGCTCCCTTATGTGCATGCACATGCCCACCCTCTCTTTCTTTCTCTCAGATATACAAGCTGTATCACTTTACACACACTCTGTGAACTTGCCCCGTGTTGTTTGCTTGCTTGGACAGTCTGCTCATACAGCTTCATGCATTTCACAGGAACTATCACTACTTGCCATATGATGAGAAGAAGCCTTGTGTTTCAGTCAAGAGTTGCTGGGGAGACCAGACCTTCCGACTGTACACTTCCAATATGCTAGAGAAAATGGCAGATCAACTGGTAAGCCTGCTGCAATGTAGAGTTGGAGACAATTTCCAGAAGAATGTGAGGGTGAAGGAAAGCATTTCATGTTCCTGAACTACCATGGCAATGTCCATGCCTGTAGGAAGTTTGTGCAGCAACTTAAATCTTCCTGCTTTTCAGAGATGAGTTCTGGGTTCTCCTCAGTCCTCTTGCTATATGGCCCTTGGGAATGATGTTCTAGCTCAAAGTGCCAGGCATCACAGTGTTTCTCCATGGGTCACCGATTGACTGGAGTGGCATATTTTGAAGGATTCCTCCCAGGTTGCTAGTTCCAGATATAATTTACTGCTGGAAATTAAAAGGGTTACATAAATTCTTGGAGATCCCTGGATTTGAGGATGATCTGTACCATAGCTCATTGATGGGTCTTGATGTTGTTTAAATAGCAACCCTAAGTAACAGCAATGTCAGAAATGCCATTGTCCTTCATGCAGAGAGTGATACAGCCACATTTGATGCATGATGCATGAGGACTCTGAGATTCCTTCTTTATTTCTAGGTAAATGAAGGGAGAAAATACTCTTCCTGCTGCTGCTATTTTGAATCCACAGCAGCAGAGAGGAGATCTATTTTGGGAACTGTGCTGCATGGGAAGGAAAAAAACTATACCTACAGCATATTCATTACTTTTTTATGTGATTTATATACCACCTTTCCCAACAAAGGTTCAGGTTTGCTTACAGTAAGAGAACAGGGTTTCTACACGTATGTCAGTAACAAGAGGAAGATCAGGGAAAGCGTGAGTGGAGGAGGCAACTGAATGGAGGAGGCAACCTAGTGACAGAGGATGCAGAAAGGGCTGAAGTGTTCAATGTCTTTATCACTTCAGTCTTCACAGGCAAGGTCAGCTCTCAGACTACTGCACCTGGCAGCACAGTTTGGGAAGGATGTGAACAGCCAACAGTGATGAAAGAACAGGTTAGGGACTAGAAAAAATGGACATATACAAGTCCATGGGGCCTGATGGGATGTACACCAAGGTGCTGAGGGAGTTGGCTGATGTGATTGCAGTGCCGTTGGCCATCATCTTTGAAAACTCATGGCAATCGGGAGAGGTCCTGGATAATTGGAAAAGGCCAAACATAGTGTCCATATTTAAGAAGGGGAACAAGGGGGAAACAGGGAACTACGGACCAGTCAGCCTCAACTCAGTCCCTGGAAAAATCATGGAGCAGATCCTCAAGGAATCCATTTCTATGCACTCAGAGGAGGAGAAGATGATTCAGAACAGTCATCGTGGATTCACCAGGGGCAAGTCATGCCTGACCAACCTGATTTCCTTCTATGATGAGATGGCTGGCTCTGTGGATGCAAGGAAAACAGTGGATGTAGTATACCTTAATTTTAGCAAGGATTATGATATGGTCTTCCACAACATTCTCGCAAGCAAGCTAAGGAAGTATGGGCTGGATAAATGGACTGTAAGGTGGATAGAAAACTGGCTAGACCATCAGGCACAGAGGGTAGTGGTAGATGCCTAGTTGCATCCAGTATCAAGTGGAGTGCCCCAGGTGTTGGTCCTGGGGCCATTTTTGTTCAATATCTTCATCAACGACCTGGAAGATGGCATAGAGTGCACCCTCAGCAAGTCTGCAGATGACACCAAACTGTGGGGAGTAGTACATATACTGGAGGGTATGGCTAGGATTCAGAGAGATCTAGACAAAGTGGAGGATTGGGCCAAAAGAAATCTCCTTGAGGTTCAACAAGGACAAGTGCAAAGTCCTGCCCTAACCCTAAGAATCCCATGCACCAGTACAGGCTGGGGGGGTGACTGGCTGGGTAGCAGCTCTGCAGAAAGGGACCTGGGGGTTACGGTGAACAGTAAGCTAAATATGAGCCAACAATGTGCCCTTGTTGCGAAGAAGGCTAATGGTATACTGAGCTGCATTGGTAGGAGTGTTGCCAGCACAGTAATGATTATTCTGTTCTATTCAGCACTGGTGAGGCCACATCTGGAGTCCTGTGTTCAGTTTTGGGCCCCCCACTACAGAAAGGATGTGGACAAATTGGAGAGAATCCAGCAGAGGGCAAGAAAAATGTTTTGGGGGCTGGGGCACATGACTTCTGAGGAGAGGCTGAGGGAGCTGGGCTTATTTAGTCCAGAGAATTGAAGACTGAGGGGATTTAATAGCAGCCTTCAACTACTGAAGGGCAGTTCCAAAGAGGATGAAACTAGACTATTCTCAGCGGTGGCAGATGACAGAACAAGGAGCAATGGTCTCAAGTTGCAGCAAGGGAAATTGAGGTTAGATATTATGAAGAATTTTCTCACTAGGAAGGTGGTAAAACACTGGAACAGGTTACCCAGAGAGGTGGTGGAAGCTCCATCCTTGGAGGTTTTTAAGACCTGGCTAGACAAAGCTTTGTCTGGGATGATCTAGCTGGGGATGGCCCTTGTTTGAGCAGGGGGGTTGGAATAGATGATTTCCTGATGTCGCTATCAACCCTAGTTTTCTATGGTTGTATGAAAAGAGCAACCTAAAAGGGGAACTTGATTTTTATACATAAAACAGACTCATTATATGATCTCAGCCAAGCTTTGTTTCTTAAATGCTTGCAGAAAGAGAAAGGTCTTCCACAGCTTCTGCAAGATGTCCAGGATCAGATTCTGGTAGCCCTCAAGAGGGAGGGAGTTCCTAAGTTCAGGAGCAACTACGCAGAACAGCCTTATTTTTGCTTTCTGTCCAAAGCCCTTTTATAGCGGGACAACTTACTTAATTTATTTGATGCATTACTTTGTGCAAGTCCTTTCACAACATCTGATGAAGTGAGCATGGGCTCATCAAAGGGCTCATCAATGCTGTACATCTTTGATTTAGTTAGTCTGTGAGGTACAAATCTGACCTACCTTTTGCCTAACTTCAGACTAACAAGGTGAATTACCTCTAAATTTACAGGACTGCCAACATTTTCATCTTTCTCGGGCCTTCTCCCCAGAAAACCGTGCCTGTTTGCAACTGAAGAGACTCCTTAAGTTTTCTCATTGTCATAACAGAGCTGATTCTTTCAATAGGGCATGTGCAGTCGCTGTCTTGCACTGACGGGCCCTGCATGGTGGTTGGTTAGCCTAGTTAGAACAGGCTTTTTAGAATTAGGGGGAAAATTCTTATAAGTGGCTTCTAATGTTGAGTGTCTTAATTTTGAGGCACCCAGATTTAGTTATATAGGGCCTGATTCTTGTTTCATTTCTACTGAAGTAAATCAGAAGTAACTTCATTGAAATTGAGTTGTATTGATGTGGCCCACATCTTCAAACCTGGGTGCCCTTGAAGAAGCAGCCCAATTTTGAGGGAGCCTGAGCACCTGCCATTCCCATGGAGGTCACCTCTAGAATCAAGTCAGTTATTTAGATATCTGATGGCTCAATGCAACGCCTGTTGACATTAGTTGGTAGACTCTAAACATGGATTTACATGACTTATCTTAGTACCTGAGGGTTGCGTCCAGGCGAGCTCAGCCAGGTGGTATGTCGTGCAGCAGACCCATCTGTGGTGCCATGCACTGCACATTCAGGTGGTCCCCACACTGTTACCTTGCAGCATGGTTTTGGTTTTTTTTACCCTGGGAGATCCCGGGGTAAAAAACACCCATGCAGAAAAAAGTGGGGTGGCAGCACTTGCCCCCCAAAACCAAAACCTGGCCTGCCAGAGCCATGCTCCAGCTACCAGCTACAGCTGCAGCTCCCCAAGGCCCCCAGGACTCCAGGTAAGGCTGCTGGGGCCAGCACAGTTGCTGGCCTAAGCCTCCCTTACCCCATCCAGGGCAAACTGCTGTGCGCCAGAACACATGTAGTATTGGCGTTCCCCAGGGACAAGTAGCAGCAGGACAAGGTGTGTCACTTATTGTCCCCAGGGAAACAAATGTCCATGCTCATGTGGATGCAGCCAAGTTTAATTTTTTGATTTTATTTAAATGACTTGCCTAAGACAGACAGACATTTCAAAGCCATTACTTTTTGGGTTCCAAGTTCACCTCCCTCTCTGTCACTAGCCATATCCTGAATAACCATATTGTAAATAATTATACTGACAAACTGAGAAATCACTCTCCTACATCACATGTTTTCACATCTTGTTTTTAGGAAGAAGGATTAGAGCAAGTAAAAGATTTGATCAAAGTTTCGGAGACTGCATCAGAAAAGAAAATGCAGACTACTGTCAGTAACTTTATCAATCAAAGCAGGTAATCTAATTTACTAGAGAAGCCCAAAATGAATATTGTATACTGGCAGCACATTTCTCCTATTGGCTGAGAAATTGATGGTACAAATGAAAAAATCTAAATGGCCTTAAACTGGTGTACAAGAGGATTTTTACAAGCCAACACTTTTATACAAGGAAAGTATGTTTTAATGTACTTGGGACTTGTTTTCACCTATCACTTATCAGGTTTTCTGGATTCTCAGAATAAAATGTCCATGGGAGTAATTGAGATGCAAAAAAGTGCATGATAGGTGCATTATAGAAGCAGGCAAAATTAAACTGAATTCAAAGTGTTTGCCAAGGTAAAACCCTTCTCATTAGGTACTGTGTAATGCAGGACTAAGAGACATATGAAGCCCAGCCATGAATTGATTTGGTAATCTACCCATTAAGGTACAGACTGTACCTTTCTTTAACAGTCATATTTCCATATTATGCCATGTTTTCTAGATCTGTATTAGTTTTTCTTGTCTTCCTCTGGATTCTCTTTCCGATCTGTCCACATCTTTCTTAAAATGGCTATAATTTCCTAAGTGAAGTCTCACTGAGGTTGAGTAGCGTGGAAGAATCATTTCCTGTGACATGCATGCCACACTCCTGTGATAGGTGCCCCAATATTTCTGTTATACTGACAGTTCCAGCATCACCATCTTCAGCTTTGTACACTGTGTTATAGAGAATATTTCACTTGCAGCCTGTTTTATCTGCCATTGTAATAGAGAAATCTGACTATCTCAAAAAATGCTTCTGTGTTTTCCTGTGTCCTGGACATAGAGCTTTCATTGCTAATGCTGAAAAGAAGCCCAAAGGGATGAACCAGACGGCTTTGGACAAAAAGAGACTCACGCTGTGCAAGCAAGAGCTGGTATGAAAGATTCTCTATTTAAACAGTCACACATTTAAATAATGGCTTAATGTGAAGTGTAATCTTGCATATGTAGCAATTCAGATCTGGCTTCTCACTGTGGCGAAGCTTCAGAATGAACACAAATATTGTATCAAACAGCGATTTTTTTAAGGCCTGCTATATTAAGCAAAGTGTGTTAAGGTTCTTTGAAGTAATTTGGAAAGTTTCGTTTTCAATATGCAATATTCAATAAGAAATTATTAGTGAGTTAGGTCAAGGGTTTTCAACCTTTTTTAACAAGTGTACCCCTTTAGATTTTTTTCTTGGTTTTAAAGGGGGCGGGCAGATCAAGGCCCCCATGATGAGGGAGGGAGGGAGTGGGACTGGGGCAGGGGCACGGGCAGGGGTAGGCACTGCATAGCCGGGGCAGAGCGCAGGACAAAGCCATGAGAGC